CCCTACAGTCTTACATTCTGCAAACAATCAATCAATCAGCTTTTATGTAGCTTAGAGCAGAGTGTGATAGATAAAGCATACGTAAGTGAAAGTCTGTTTAACACGACAAAATCTGAAGACAGATGAGGAAGAGCAGGCAACCAGAAGTGCCACATGCAATAAAAATAAGCAAATGTAATTTAGGTGAGTGATCTACATCCATAAATGTGAAACATAAAAGAATTTACATAAACGGAGGTTTCAAGACAGCATTAGAGAATATTCCTCACGTAAGTACTGACCTTGTTTGCTGTTAGTATTTAAAAGTACAGTGAGGTTTCTCTTTAAATCTTATAAAATATGTCTGTGTGACTTTTTGGGAGGCAACATCACTGGCAGATGGGTGCAGCATTTCACTTAGCCCAGAACAGAAAGACAGATGGTTCACCTACTTTCCAAGGAAGAGAAGGTTCTCACCCAGTAAGTGTCTGGTTCAGTAAGGACCAGCAAGGTTGAGTTCTTCCTCAACCACGCAGGACTCATTCATGATGAGTACAAAGGCAGTACAACTCGGGATCCAGGAGCCCGAATAGCAATTAAGAAACATCTCAAGTGCCATTACTGTGCCCTCATAAGCTTAGGGCTCTCAAAGACAAGACTACCATCACCTTAGTCTGAAAGATGTGATCTGGAAAATGTAATGTTTGGAATCTTAGAAACGTGGCAAGAGATACAAAGAAGTCAGAAGGGTATCATCCAGTAGCAGCTACGTATTACTGTAAAAGCCACCAATGCCACTCTACTCACCAGGGACAGGGGAAAGGGGAGGACACAAAGCAATTGCAAGCTATAGCCCTTGTCTTGGAAGCATATTCCTGCTTCAGAGCTTTTGCCACCTACAAATACCTCTATCCTGGTATTTTGTATATGTAATCTCATTTTGTCTGTGTACCACACTGACCAGATGTCCTGTACATATGCTAAGACACAACGTTCACCAATACTAACATACACTGTCTCTCCCTAGGCCTGTTTATTTGGCCTTGAGGCCACGCTAATGCATACACATAGCTTCTGGTTACAGCTGTTTTTCATCCAGACAGCTCAAATTGTATGCTTGCACCTGCCTGCAAAATACCAGATAGACAAATCTCTGTATAAAAAGATGTCTTACACAGACACCATCCTTTCCAATACATCTACTACTGGAGTGAATGAGTCTTCAAATGTACCTTTGCCTTCTCAAGACTTTTTCTGTTATCTAACACTGCTTTATAAAAGTTTCATCTGAAGTTTAAAAAAAAAAAAAGAATATTTTTCCTGTCCTGTAGACACTGCAATTTTTTATGCATTCAAGTACATCTTGGCCACTCACTTCCAGCCATTACCTCTTGATGTTTGTAATATAAACTAGAAAAAAATCCCCAACAATTAGAATAGAAAAGGACATTGCATAAGAAAGCTGCTTGAGGATTAAATAACAGCAGAACAGAGATACAGTTGTTGAAAGACAGCAATCCTCCCAGAAAGAGCTAAGTAGCGAAACTGGTCTCATTTTATTTTTAATTACACTAACAATTTCCTGTAGGTGTATTAGTAATGCTAGACAAGAACACATATCAGGAACTGTGTAATATAAAACAGCAAAGTTCTCTTTAAATATTCCTTAACTGCTGTAAAATGCACTCTCAGGAAGACAGTATTGCATAGAGTATCAAAATAAAAGATGCAAATTGTGAAACACTTCAGGCTTAAATCACTAGCATCACAGATTTCACTGTCTTACCTCCATCATAAACAATTACAATTAACAATGATAAGATTAAAATGATTTGTTTACCGAACCATGTAACGTAGTAAAGTTAAAATCGTCTTACATTCAACACTTCAAAGGGTTCTTTCAATCACTTACCTCCCCGGCTGGCAAGGACAGTGCCATCATAGGAAAATGTCAAGCATGAAGTGTCGGTGCCTGCAGCATGGGCTTGCCTGCAGTGGAACTTTGTGTGTACCTGTTTGTCAAACAAATGAAAGATTGAAAATTTGCTTATTTCAAGACAATTCTTTATAGCATTTTGTGCACTATTAATTTCTAATTAAATGTTAGCAGTTTTGTAAAATCAAGCTTTCCTACTTCCCAACCAAAAATAAAGGTCTCAGCTAAGATATTAAGATGACTTTGATATAATGGAAGACAAACGAAAGACAGAAACAGGGCTACAAGAATTTGAGACAGGTTGACTCTTTTTTAACACCTAGGAAATTACACTTCTCATTTGCCCTCTTGCCTAACAAAACTAATTCATACAGTTGTAAAATAAAGCATTCAAGAATTAAGGGTTACCTGTGCAACTGTATCTCAGCTTCCCATCTGTAAGACAAGGACTAAAACATGTCCTTCATCACACAGAGGAGAAGACGACAAATTAGTGACCTTCAAATCCTTCATTTACCATAGTCAGGAGCAAAATAGAAAAATACGCATAGAAGTATGTATCTTCAGAGGAGGATTTGAACAGCATGCAGTAAGTCAGATGGAGAATCACACCCTGGACAGTAAGAGGACAAAATACTTAGCAGCTGCTTCGTGATCACTAGCCAATCTATACATTAAGAGACACAGTTCTACAAAATAAGTAGAATGGGGTCACAAAATGCAAACACATCGAATAATTTAAGCTTGCACAGGAATCCTCTGTTACTGTGTCTTCTAATTATTGGTAATGCACCTTACTTAGGCTCTTTTTATGGGCTATTTTATATGAAAAAAAACCAAGCTATTAAGGTAATTAATGTTGTTTACCCTTTCAAATATTTGTTCTAAATTTGGTCCAAAAGCTAGAGAATCTTTGTGTGCTGACATTAATAATGATTGCAGGCTTATTTTAGTGTACAGACTTAGTCAAGTTTTGAGAGGCGTCACGTAGCAAATTCCCTCCACAAATGACTCTTCAGCAAACAAAGGAGGACTTCAAACACCAAGCAAATGCTTCTTAAAGTATTTGGAGATAGAATGTAATAGTCTACATTTAGCCATAGTACTTGTTTTGAAACTATTGCCACTTCTAGCCAGTTGTGCCTATCCTGGAGAAACTCTATGAACAGATTGCAGTTTACAACTGTATGTCTTTGGTGGGGTTGTTTATAAATATTAAGAAACTTATTTTATGCATCCAATTACATAAAATTTTCCAAGTATGTGTTAACATATAAAGGATAAACTGTGAATTGGCTATCAGAAAATAAATTTTCTGTACTATTTGCTAAACATTAACAAGCAATTAAAATGATGTATTTTCTGTCTAAAAAATACCATGGACACTTGAAAAAACATCATAAATGGTTAATAATAATGCTTGAAATAATGACAGAAAGATTACAATATGGTATTTAGCTATTTCAAATAAATTGGAAAAACTTCATTTGGGCTCCACAACATTTGTCCACTCAACACTCCCATCCCTCCCTGGCAATGTCACATTGACATACATGTATTAAAATAAGGTTTTTCATTTTGCTGCCCAACTTAATGCA